TTTGCTTCAAAGGGGAAGTGGCTGGTGGAAACACAGTCACTGGTACAAAAAGAGGAAGTGGCAACAAGTTGCCCAATGCACTTTTTCACTAGCCCCACCAAAAAAAAAAAAAAAAAAAAAAAAAAAAGGGGGGGCCCAAAAATAAACTAGCCAAAAATAAATTCATTAATAAAAATGAAAAACTGCATTTTTCTTCTAAACATTTGTACTTCCCTAAGGAAAACCATCCAACCACAGCTGCAAATTAGCACTAGATCAAATGAAATAATCTATGTACAAAATTAAATGATTAACTGTGGAGCTTTAAACAGTTTTGTTTAGAGTAAACAAGAAATCTGAAGAGTTATTCTGCACTCCAATCTGGGTTTTATTCCATAAATCATCTCATGTAGTATTCTTGTTGCACGTGTATATAAAAACCCAGCTTCAATGAAATGTCATCTTATCATGATATGAAACTGAGCTGCAATCATCAAATTATCTCTGACATTTTCAGACAAAACCATTAATCATCTACTCATAAAAAAATAACAGTTTCAGCAAACTGTGTGGAAGAAAAATTACTAGTTGAAGCCGTACATCAAATCCTCTAATCTGAGAAGTATGCAGAGGTTTTGAACAACAGCTGTGCATTAAAAAGAAAAGGGGAACAAAAAACTGAGAACTAGATGAGATGAAATGCTAGGATGAGATGATCACTATATGGCAGCACAGGTTAACAGCAACACAAACAGAGTTTTTATTCCCCAGAGTTACTGCAAGACTCTTTTATCAGACATTAATAGCAGTGTACTGATTTATCTGCCAAGGGGTGTAACAAAGGTAACTGATCACAGAGTGATGACGGTCAATCTGCTGTGTAACACCAATTTTACACTGGCTAAAGGTCAAAGGACACTGTGATGAGAGTGTGGCAACAAAAACAAAGTAAACCAACAACATACATCTAATGGCATCGACTACTGCCCAAAATGTTTGCTAGTTCTACTGATGGACTGGTAAATGAGCAAAATAACCACTATAGCCGATTATACAGGCGACCAGGTGCCTTGTCCCACACTTTGTCTGGCTCTAGTTTACACAAGTCACGATATGTTATCTCACAAGAAAAAATGGTCTCAAAGCAGATATATGAATGCATCCCGAATGTTTAGCAGTAATGTGGCACAAGGTCAACAATTTTAACAGTTTAACGGAGAAACGGGAGGAATGCAGTCAAATTAAAAGCCTTCCACAAGTCACCTGGGATCGGGTCACAATATTAATTTCCTCGTAGTTAATTAAACATTAAGTTTAATTAAGTTTCAGTCAGACATAAGATGTAATGTATTTACTTTATTAAATATCCGTTAAAAAAACAAAAACAAACAAACAAAATAAAATGTGACACTGAGGTTTGAGAAGTGCATTAGTGACTTTATTAGTGTACTTTAACGGCTAACGGCAACTTCCAGGGGTAATAAAGGCGAACACTGGGTGGATTTTTTTCCACAAGTGGTTATTACCGTCGACATAAAACTATCTCTACTCTGACTCGTGGACATTTTTTTCAGAAAATTTAACTTGTGCAGTGATTTCAAGAAACCGTGTCGTGAGCCTCGTTGGCAAAGCCGCTGCTCGGAGCCCATTGTTGCTCCTTCGTTAGCCTGTAGCCCCCTACTCCCCTTCCCTTTTGCAAGTCCGGCGACTCACCCAGAAAATCAGGCTGTAGGATATGAGGAAAGTCTTCAGGCAGGTAATCACTGGCTTCGTCTGAAGCCGGCGAGACGGTGGCGACATGTTGGAGTTTAGTTTTTTAACTGAAAAAAAGAGGAAAAAACTTCACTTCCCAGCGTCCAGAAACGAAGAGAGAAGAAGGGAAAAAAGTTCTGGATCTGAGGAGAGAGGGGGAAGTGTCGTCACTTACCCAGACTCACTTTCCTGGAGGATAAACAGCTCAGCTGGACAGACTAGCGTCAAGTCCGCAACAGCGACAGCGGTAAAACACCACACGCGCAAACAGCTATCAAAATAAAAGCCCAGCTGCGACGGTTTTTTTTGTTTTTGTGTGTGTTGTTTTTTAAGGGAGACGGTGTCCAACATGCGGTCCGGGGGCAGAATTGGGCCGCCACAGGGTCCCACTCGGACTGTTTGATGTGAAGTCATTTACTGCTTCAGTTTTTCAATATAATTAATTTCTTCTTGTTTTCTGCTGATGTTAGCCTTCCTGCACAGGAGTGATACTGTATGGCAAGCATTTCTAGACCAATACCAGCTGATGGAACCATAAGGAGGTGCAAGCGGTGGGAAATGTTCACAGCTTTTAGTGTTACCAGCTGTTCCTGCGCATGGAGGAGAGGCTGGGTGCTTCCTTTACTTAGTGAGGGACTGGGAGTTAGTGAATGGCTGTTTACCTGTGAGTGATTCTGCCTGTGCAGCAGTAGTTTTCATTTTCCTTGCCAGGATAGACCATTTTTTAGGATTTGTTTCTGTGTTTAGACCCCACACATAGGGGTGGAGGAGTCCTGTCAACAGACCTGTCACCAAGTTATTCTAATGATTGTATGTTTAATCTCTTAATCATTTGTTATCTCATAAGGCCATTTGTTTTTTGTAAAACAGGCTGCAGCATGAGCCCAGAAGCTCATAAATTTAGCAATTCCTGGCTAATTACATCCCATCGCCATAAGAAATGGTTCTGACTTCCAAGAATTGCAGTTGTCCCAGTTTGCTGTGGTATTCATGATTGTGGCTTTTTGGCTGTGCAGGGTTTATAGTGTGATTTTGATCAACTGAGTTATCCACTTGCTGTGTAGCGTTTGGGTCTGAGGCAAATTTGCAAAGTGTCACGGTCCTGGGTCATTTTGACCCAGCATTTTCAGTTCTTATATTCCTTTGTATTATGGTTTGTATTCTGATCCTTTTATCATGCTTTGTTTATTAGTATTATTCTATGTTTCAGTTATTCTTTGTGAGGGATTAGTTCTTAGGTTGTGTCTCTCGTTTAGTATAAGTTCAGTTCAGTGTCTGTTTCCTGTTTCCCGTTTTATTGTGAAAGGTTGTGCCTCATCTCAGTGTGTCTAGCTCCCCGTGTCTCGTTAGCCCAAACCCTCCCAGCTGTGTCTCCCTCCTGTTTTCCATTCCCCGATTACTCCCCTGTGTATATAAGCCCTGTGTTTTCCTGCGTTCTCTGTCGCCTCGTACCCTCAGCTAGCTGTGTGTTCTGCTTCTGTGTTTAATCACCTGCGCCAGTTTAGTATTTCTTTTCCAGTGTTCCCGTCCTGTGTTCAGACTTTTGTTGGTCTTTTGGTGAGTTTAGTTAATACGAGGTTTTTCCCAGCAATAAAGCTGCGCTTAAGTTTAACTTCCGTGTCTGAGTCCTGCATTTTGAGTCCACCACTCCTGCCTGCCTGCCTGCCACACAGCCAATCTTGACACAAAGTGTGGATCACTCATTGAAGGCTGGACCAGAGATTTAATAAGGACATTTTTTTTAATAAACTTAATTCTAAATGTCTTTTTTTGTCTTTAAAGAATCTGTTGAGTGCTTTTCAGCCTCTAAGAACTTGACCAGACCAGGTGTTCAGATTTTACAGAGATGGTGCTGCTTTACATTTTTCACTGATAAATAAGAAATCCCAGTTTTACTATAATACTAGCATATAGATTTTTCTCCTGTTCTGACTGTTCCACAAGTTTACAGACAAGCATGTTTTTTGTTAATTTGTTTGTTTTTCAACTATTTTTCCCGACCCTTGCAGTGCTCAACCTTTTCAACAAAGCTCACATTTATCTTATTTCAAACACCACCGGAAGTTGATTATTTTGTCTTTGGTATATTATGAGTTAAGGTTTGAGATCAGCTACAATTTTACAGTTCAGTAGTCACAGCTTTCTTCTGAGGCCTATAAACTGGATTGGTTTTCTAGGTATGTTCACATGAGTATGACCTTGTTGTAGAAGGACAATGGCTCATTGTTTTCGTCCTGGAATAACTAAGGCATTATTGAAACAAATATACACTTTACTAGAAGCTCAGTATGAAACAATAAATCATTTATTTTGAATCAATAATTTAAAAATTAATCTGAAAATTGTATATCAATCTATGACATCACCAGCCCCCTGAAGACATGGTCCTGCAGTTTGCAAACAGCAGCCAGTATTTTACTGCACATTTAATGTTAAGGGCTTAAAAAGGTGCAGACAGGCTGGTGCAGACTGGAAGAGATTTGCTGGCTTGCAGAACAGAGTGCTATTCAATTATTAATTAATAAGCTATTACACACTATAACACCACTGCTTGCTTCACATTTGTCAGGGCTGCGCTGTGTCCACGTGCTTTTATTTTGACAGTAGCACCGCTACTTCCTGTCTCCTGCAGTCGGTCTTTACAGTCCTTATACTTAGCTTCCTTCTGCTGATGTGGATGTGACACACGCGTCACAGCAGTCAGAGCAGCCTTGTAAATATGCGCTTAGTTGAAGATAAACACAAAGACTGATGCTTTTTTTCGTTCTCCAAATTGAATTTCTACTTGCATCGTGCTCTCCTCGTGCGATTTTCTAAACAAATTACATGTGATGATCCTTTTAAAAAAACAAAGCGTCGCATTAAATAGTGCTACATTTAATTACTACTAGACCGTGAGCTCTTTGTAAGTGTTGTGTATTGTGGGGGGACATATTTGGAGCATTTTGTAAGTTTATTTTGAAAGTAGCCCGTTTCATTAAAACAAAACAAAACGAAAAAAACAAAAACCCATCAGGCGTGATGTCACTGAAATAATATTATGAGATTATGAAATAAAGATCCATAACAGCTGATAACTCCAGTGCCATTGTATATATCAGATGGCAGCCTAAAAAATCTGCTGCTGCAAGTGAATTAGCGTATAGGCCTACTTCTTGCATGAGTTGAAGGGTGGAGTTTATAAAAGATTTTTAATCATGTTTAATGCAGCGATGGGTGGAAACACACACACACACACACACACACACACACTAGAAGCCCGTTAGTGCCACCAAGTGGTTTTTGTCTCTGTGATGAACTAGAAGAATCTTTCCTTAACAAAAGCTGAGGAGGCTGCTGCGTGAAAGGAGCGCTCGTTGTTGACTGTGGGGATTATTCAGACAACTCTTTTTTTTTTTTTAAAGCTTTCCTCAGTTTTATAGCTTCGTAGGTCTGTGTTGGACTCTGAGATTCTTGGAGTTGTACAAAAAAAGTTTGATCTCATCCAGGAGTGTCATCTCTGCGTTTCTGACATGCGCCTCAGCCGCTCTGTTGCTGTCTTCATCTTGTTCTTCACAGGTGAGTCCATGCGACAAACCTAGCGTGTACGAGACAAGAAAACAAAAATAAACAACAATTCAAATGTTAGGGGCTAGATTTCATCAAAGTACCACGTGATTACAGTGCACGATGTACTTTCCTGTGATCAAAGGAAAAGTACAGAATCAACAAAGTAAAACTACTCCTTAAGTTCCCAATGCAAAAACGTTTGCTCCCAAGGTTTTGGATAGTGCATATTCTGTTAGCAGAAACTAGATGGTGAAGTTGAAACAGAGGCTGAAACTAACGAGCAATCTGCTGCTTCTGTTTAGCTACAGTAACCATGAAAACTCATATTTCCAAAGCGTAAGTGACATCTCTGATAAAAAATGGGAAGCAGCAAGCTCTCATATTTATTAAGAGAGAGAAACCATGAAATCTTTGGCAAGTAAAGAATAACTTTAACTTAAAATAATGATTGTTTTGTTTTAGCTCAATCAATCAGTTGTTCGACTAAAGCTATCTAGCTATCTAAAGTAATCTAAAGTAACTACATCTGTCTGACAGTGATCTTCTTTTAAAGGAAAAGTTATTTAGTCTAAGTTTAGTATAAATTCAAGCATTGGTTTTGTTGCAAGTCTCAACTAAGACAAATTTGCATGAATATGTAATATATTAGATGGTTGGCCAAGGTTCAAGTCACTCATCTTCCCTGCAGCTGGGAAATACCTCCTCTGCAGTAAAGCCACTGGTATTAGATCCAGATGTGCTGCATTTTTTAGGTGAATCGATGAGTACAAATGGAGGTTCCTGCTCCATTTGTGCCTCCACAACATCTCCCAACATGCAACTGGCTAAAATCCAGGATAAGATGACTTTAAAAATGAGCTGAGCTTCATTTCTCTTCAGGTGTTCCTTCCCCGTTTGCTGACCAAGCAGTTTAATTACGGCTCAGCTCCAGTTAATTACTGAGGAGTCCCCCTCCGGGCCAAACGTGCTAAAGCCTTCATTTAATCCTGCAAGATAATGACATGACCTGAGATTCCCCTCGGCAGCACATATGAACTCCAGCGATGATGAGGAGTGATTGAAAGGATGATGCTCGGTCTCTCAGCTTTGTCATTAGAGACATGAAATGTCAGATGAGCAGCAGCTTCTTTGTGGTCTGACTCATTTCTGCTGCATGGTCTCACTCTGCCTGCAGTGTGCATGTCTCTGCAGTAAAATCTGCCTAATGTGTGTCAGTGTCTGGGTATTCTGCACCCCTTAGTCATCAGAAGCAGCGTTTGAGTAAAAGCACCAGTCGGGCAAGCCTTTCTTTGTCATACGTGAGAAAAAATGGATTCTCTTTGGGTCCGAGAACAAGTTATGAGGGGACTATTTTCATACATATTATCACAAAAGCTGAATGAGTAACAAGAAGTCTAATCTCCAAGGTTATGTTTGCCTATTAGGAAAAACAGCTTAAGTCTATAGAAAACCTCCGTTTCAATTTTATCCATGTATAATCTCACATATCATTTTAATTCCCATGTGCATGATAGTACACCCCACTTGCAGTAATGTCCATTTCTATATTTGAACACTGCAGTGATTAGCCTGTTATTTCCTGTGTGACTAATTCTCTGTGAGGGGAAATATTAGCCTGGGGAAGTGTATTGTGTGGAACATTGGGCTCTTTATAAGAAAAATAAAACAAACAAAAAAACCCACTGACGGTGGGTTTAATCTGCTTGTCTTAGGAAGAATCTGGAGCAGAGTAGGGAAATTAAATGTATCATTACTAATAAAATGCTTTAAAGTGGACTTTATTAGCTTGAGACTAAGTTTAATGCTGAGCTGAAGCAAAGGAAGCAGAGCAGGAACTGAGAGCTGGGATGGGGGGTGGGGGATTGACAGACTGGAAAGTTTGGCACTCAGCTCTAAACACGGAGTCATTTTCAGGATACTGTGCCTGAGCCACCACTGCAGAGAAAGAAGAGTAACAGTGATTTATTGTGCAGAAAGTACAGTACAAGAACTGTTAGAACATGGAAACTGGTGAGTAAGAGACACAATCGCCAAGTGGGTAATGAAAACATGCTGTTTGTCCTGATGTGTGGTGGAGTTAAAGTGAAAGTTTCAAAACATAACCAAGGCCATTTACATGCATCACCTCAAGAAAGCAAAGAGCCCCAGGATTTTCCATTTCCTGATTGGAAATCCAGGTGGAATATTATTTGAGTTGTGCTAAAGGAAGCTGAAAGGAGGTTGTGGAAATGAGAGTGCGCGGTGAGAAAAGTTTGTGTCTGCCTGCTTCTGTGTGACCTACATAATATGTGCTTCAGTCGTATTATTTCACCCCAGCTGATGCTCAGGAGGTTTGGGGTTCGAACCCTAGGCTTTTCTACATGTTGGCTTAAATACATGTCCAGGGGTTAGGTTGCTCCTGATGTTTCCATGTGAGTGTGTGAATGTTAGGTTAAAAGTGCTTAGGTTTTTTTAATACGTGTGAATGATACTTGTAGTAAGAAAGCTCAAAAAGAGTAGAAAAGTGCTATTTGAGTGACAGTCTATCTACCATAAACACATGTGACATGTCTGGTTGTTTTTTCAGCTGGCTCTGGGACTACAGTATACGAAAATGAGTTTACAGAGGAAGATACGACTCCTCAACTGGACTACACAAGTGCGTATGGACAACAGACACTCACTGGGGCTGGGCCATATGTCAGAACATACCATCAAACAGTGTCTATTAAAGATTTGGCCTCTGTCGCTCATATGACGGTAGCTAACACATCTGGTGTCAAGAATAAGCAGCTTAGTAAGAAAGTCTGTAAACTTTTAGATTTTTGCTCAAAGACTCTTCTAGGAAACCAGATGATAAAGAGAATATAGATATTTATAGCCTGCTTACTTCTTTGGATCCAGGGTTATGCAATCCAGATGAAATGGTTTTTTGATTTTTGTGTCAGTCACTGCTGTTAAAGCCATTAGAAAAAAAAACGTGTGTAATTATTTATTTATTTATTCATTCTTTGCTGCCTTGATGTCTGGCTTAATCCTCTTCACAACGTTGCTTCAGTTCATTGAAGATTGGAGGCATTTGTTTAGGCACAGCTTTCTTAAATTCCCAACAAAGCATTTTAATTGTGTTGAGGTCTGTCAGACAGATGACCTCATATTTGACTCTAGAATACTCTGTTATACATAGGAGCTCATGGTCGACTCAATGACTGCTAGGTGTCCTGGTCCTGTGGCTGCAAAACAAGCCCACACCATCACCTTTCCATCACCGTGTTTGACACTTGGTATGAGTTGTTTATGCTGATATGCAGTGTTTGGTTTTCTCCAAATGTGATTCTGTGCATCACAGCCAAACATTTCCACTTTTGTGTCCTCTGTCTGGGCACTGTTTCAGAAGTCTTATGGTTTGCTCAGATGCTTCTTTCTAATAATAATTTTTGTGGTGCTTTTCATCTGGTTTCTTGCTGAAGTTTGAATCTTTGAACTCTATAATAAAGACTGATTAACTGATATAGACAAGCACAGTCTGAAATCCCACTTTTCCCATGAGTGAACACTGAGTCCAACACTCAGAGTCTAAAGGAATCACACAAATCTGATTCTGGCTGCTCTTTAAAAACAGACCCTTACTGGTGCCATCCTCCGGGTCTGACCAACGGTGAGGTGACCTGCCACTCCCCTCGAGGCAGAGCCTACAGGAGCACATTGGGAACGCGTTGCCAGATGAGCTGCGATCGAGGGTACAAGCTGCTGGGAAGACGCTCCATTATGTGCCTCGCTAATCGCCGCTGGTCTGGGACTGCTTACTGCCGCAGTATGTGGAGATTTTAACTTAACATGTGATCAGTTTGGTGACACTCTTTGTTTTTCTGACCAAGAAAATCGATCAGCAAATACGGTGAGTGTCTGTTATTTGAAAATATTCATCTCATTCTTACTGGCCAGGAATTATAAAATCAGTTCAGTTCACATGTTCCCTTATTACCATGAGCACTGGAGTTGTTAATTTTATTCACTGGCACCACATGTAAGTGTTAATCCACTGCTGAAAATAGTCCCGCCCAGAAGGCTTTTGGCCCATCAGTTAAAACGTCAGGCCTCGTCTCGATTAATTTCCCAAATTAAAGATGCGGCAGGCAACTCGGTCTCTGATTCAAAGGAAGTAAACGAGGTGTTTAAGACGTACTATTCCTCCCTATATGAATCTGTATCTGCTGCTGATGCCTCAGAGATGGATTCTTTTTTTAACGGTCTTACAATGCCCACTGTCGATCCTGTTATAGCTGAACAATTAGATGCCCCTCTTAGGCTGGATGAAATTGTGCATGCAATCAAGACCATGCACAATGGTAAGGCACCAGGACCTGACGGGTTTTCAGTTGAATTTTTAAAAACTTTTATAGACAAGTTAGCCCCACTACTTCTTTCAGTGTATAATGAATCTTTTGAACGTGGTCTATTGCCCCCTACATTGTCTCAAGCACTAATTACTGTTCTCTTAAAGAAGGGTAAGGATCCTACGTCTTGCACCTCGTATAGGCCTATTTCACTGCTGAATGTTGATGTTAAAGTCTTGGCTAAAATTTTAGCAATTTGCCTTGAAAAGGTTCTTCCTACTATTATTTCAGATGAACAGAATGGCTTTATTAAAGGCCGCCAGCTGTTCTTTAATGTCCGCACGCTTTTGAATGTCATTCTTTCCCAACACTCAACCACTAATCCAGAAGTAGTTATCTCACTTGATGCTGAGAAAGCTTTCGATCGTGTAGAGTGGAGCTTTCTCTTTGCGGTCTTGCAAAGATTTGGTTTCAAGGACAGATTCATTTCATGGATTCGACTGTTGTACAGGGCACCCCAAGCCAGTGTCTATACAAATGGTGTTTCCTCTGGCTACTTCTCATTGTCACGCGGGACGAGACAGGGTTGCCCCCTGTCCCCCCTACTTTTTGCTATTGTAATTGAACCCCTATCTGTAGCTTTGAAGGCCCTTCCTCATTTTCGTGGTATTTCCCGGTCAGGCCTTGTCTTAAAATTGTCTTTATATGCAGATGACCTGCTTCTATATGTTTCTGATCCCTTATCTAGCATACCATCGATTGTGTCTCTACTAAACAATTTCAGCTCTCTGTCAGGTTACAAAATAAATCTTATTAAAAGTGAATGTTTCCCCATAAATTCTTTAAGTTTTACACTTAAACAATCTGACATTCCTTTTAGACTTAGCCCTACCGGCTTTAAATATTTGGGAGTTAACATGACTCGTACTTTGTCTTCTCTATACTCTTCCAATTTCTCCCCTTTAATGACTCAAATTCAATCAGATTTTCAGAGATGGAAATCGCTACCTTTGTCCCTAATTGGTCGGATCAATGCTGTAAAGATGAACATTTTGCCTCGATTGTTATTTCTGTTTCAGAGTATTCCTATATTTTTACCTAAAGCTTTTTTCAAAAAGTTAGACCAGCTAGTTACATCGTTTTTGTGGGGAGGGAAACACCCCAGGGTGAGGAAATCATTATTACAGAGACTGACATTTGATGGTGGTCTTGCCTTGCCTAACTTTTTATTTTACTATTGGTCCTCTCATGTTCACAAATTGACCCATTGGCTTGAATCTCAAGACCTGCTGTGGTGCAAACTGGAACGCCTGTCGTGCACTTCCTCATCCTTAGAAGCTTTATTATTCTCTCCACTACCACTTAAGCCTTCTCATTTCACCCAAAATCCCGTGGTACAGTCTAGTCTAAGGGTCTGGTCACAATTCAGGAGTCATTTTAAGTACATCTCTGCGTCAGTACACATGCCCATCACGCAGAACCATCTGTTCACTCCTGGCCTCATTGATGGTACCTATGTACAGTGGAAGCGTCATGGTATTAATACATTTAAGGATCTCTATAAAGATGGCACTTTCTTAACTTTTTTAGACCTGTGTTCAGAAACAAATCTTCCGGCTACCAATCTATTCCGTTATTTTCAGGCACGGCATTGCACTTCTGCTCTCTTCCCCTCCTACCCTCTTCTCCCAAATGTCCAACCGTGGGAGGAATTCTTATCCCTTAAACCCAATAAGAAGTCAATTATATCTTTAATATATAAACAACTTATGGATTTAAATGTCCATTCCGTTGCTAAAATTAGGGGGGCTTGGGAGCAGGAGTTAGGAATAATTTTTTCGGATCAGCAATGGGAGAAAGCAGTATCCAATGTCCGTTATAGTACGTCCTGTGCCAGGTTACAACTCATCCAGTTCAAGGTGTTGTACAGGGTTTACTATTCAAAGTCTCGTCTGTCTGAGATTTACCCACAAGTGATGGATCAGTGTGAGAGATGTCATGCCACCCCATGTGACCTAGGCCATATGTTTTTTCTGTGCCCAAGACTCCATGGCTTCTGGAGTCAGTATTCAGTTATTCTTTCCAAAGCTCTTGGGACCCAAATCTGCATGGACCCTTTTCTAGCTGTTTTTGGGCTTCCAGTCAACACTGGTCTAACCGACCCTACACACTTCAAAATATTAGCCTTTACATCACTTTTGGCTAGACGTTGCATCTTACTCCTTTGGAAATCTTCAAAGCCACCTTCAGTTTCTTTTTGGTTTAGAGATGTGATGTCATCTCTTAAATTGCAAAAGATAGGCCTTGTGGCGAAGGGCAAATACAGAGAATTTTATTCTATCTGGGGCCCCTTCGTGGACTATTGCAAGTCATTAAACGCTCTACCAGCTGATTAATATCATGTCTCTTCCCCCCCCCCCCCCCCTTTTTTTTTTTTTTTTTTTTTCTCCCCCTTTTGGGGTTTGTGTTTGTTTTGGGTTTCTTATTAGGTTTTGTTTTGTTTGTTTACTTAAGCGTGTGTGTAGATGTGCCTGTGTGTGTGTTATTGTGTCCGTTCATGTAAGAAAAACTAAAAAATATGTGAGGGGAACAGATTGTGTTGTCATTGTAAACTACTGTACACTTGTCTCTCAATAAAAATATTTAAAAAAAAAAATGAAAATAGTCCCCAATTACACTTTTTTTTACTCTTTGAGAGTAATAGTTGCTTAAAAATGCAGTTCCCAGTTTGAGCCTTTTTAACAGCTCGGAGAGTTAAATCAAATCCTGTTTTTAGATATTTTCTTCACACGTGCTCACACTGCTAGTGTTGTTGACACTAAAAATAAAAAATCACCAGCCAAACCTTTTAATTCTTGGACTTTCCTGGGGTGGCTTTTTATGATTCACAGTTCAAAATAATGAATTGTTCTTTTTTTAATACTCTGAAGCAGACTGCTTAACAATTTTAACCTTTAAGGAAAGTTTCTTTTGATTGCCCCCTCCCATACAGAAGGTTTGAAAAGCAGATGGGTGGGGCTTCTGTGCTTACAGTGGAAAGTGTGAAGCTGACGTGTCCATATTAAGGATATCTGCTGTCAGTGATGTTATATAGACCCAAGAGAATAAAATAATCTAAAACTAAATGTTTAGAGCAGTCTGGTTCTTACTTGAACATACACTGAGCTCATTAGTTACAATTTTGACCATGTTTAATATGAACAGCCACCACTGTGGCCATTTAACATACTCTCTGTGTGCCCATCAGAGATGCGCTGCCACATGCTGCCCCTCATTTACCATGGCAGGTACACCTGCACTCAGGGCTTTATGGTGGACTCCAGGTGTGACTTTACCTGTGACACTGGCTATCGCATTGAAGGAGAACCATCACGCATCTGCCAGCACAGGGGGTCATGGAGCGGAGTACAGCCGGTGTGTTCAGGTACGCAGCACTGTCTCAGTGTGTAGATCCAAGTGAAGCCGACCAAATGTTTGGAAATTCTGTCAGCTATATTTTTTAACTTAATGCCATACATGGACTTTAAATCAGGCCATCTGCTCTGGTGTGGTTATCCTTCATTCCTTCACAGGATTGGCTCCTTTTACAGTCTCACAAAAACAAGCATATTTCCTCCTCGTCTGTTCTCTGGACTGAATCCAAACTGTGGCTTGTTGCTTTCTGAATTAAATTCTGCTCTTTATAGCTGTAGCAGTTGGGCAATGCTGACAACATGCCTGCTTCCTTTCTCTAATGCTACATTGCCATTATTTCAGATACTGATCCTCCAAAGATAAAGTGTCCTCCATCTAGACTCAAGGTCGCTGAGCCTGGAAAGCTCACCGCCAAGGTGACCTGGGACCCTCCGACAGCCACAGACACAGCTCACAAGTCACTCGAGTATGTCACAGACTTCCTTTATTTCCCTTTCCTGTTCATTCTTAAATGGATTTGAACATTTTGTTGGCTACTGTGTCTCTCTGCAGTGTGATATTAGTGGGCCAGGAGCCAGGCACTGACTTTAAAGAGGGACTTCACATTATCCGATATAAAGTGTACGATCAGGCCAGGAACAGAGCTGCCTGCAAGTTTATAGTGCGTGTTGAGGGTAAGCTGCCAAACCGGATTTCTTGAGTTACTATTTTGTTATCACTGTTGTATTTTATTTACATGATTTTGTTTTACATTCAGTGAGAAGATGTCCAGAACTCTTTCCACCCTTGCATAGTTACCTCAGCTGCTCCTCCGATGGGAACAACTATGGTGCAACGTGTGAATACCACTGCGAAGGAGGATACGAACGGAGGGGGGTGTCGAGTCGTGTCTGCCAATTCAACCGAAGCTGGGGCGGAGATCCTGCTGAGTGTGTTCGTGAGTACTGAGTCTGCAAATAGGTGACTTTAAGATGACTGTATAACAGTGGCAAATGTACCAGACTGACACAACAATATAATAAATAGAGTAAAAAAAAACATTTTTATATTGTAAGGTAGACCCTAGAATAATACATACAGAGAAAAACCCAACAATCATATGACCCCGTATGAGCAGGAACTTTGGCGACAGTGGGAAGGAAAAACTCCCTTTTAACAGGAAGAAACCTCTGGCAGAGTGAGGGGCGGGGCCACCTGCTGTGACCAGTTGGGGTGAGAGAAGGAAGACAGAAAGACATGCTGTGGAAAAGAGCCAAAGACTGCAGTCAGTACTCAGTTGAGGCTCCAACCACCACCAACACCGGCAGATGAATCGCAGACTGCAGAAACTTTACACTGGACTTCACACACCGGGGATTCTCTATCTGTCCATTGTTCCTCTAGACCAGCGGTCCCCAATCCCAGTCCACGAGGGCCGGTGTCCCTGCAGGTTTTAGGTCTCACCCTGGGTCCACACACCCGAATCACATGATTAGTTCTTTACCAGGCCTCTGGAGAACTTCAAGACATGTTGAGAAGATAATTTATCCAATTAAATCAGCTGTGATGGATCAAGGGCACATCTAAAACCTGCAGGGACACCGGCCCTCGTGGACTGGGATTAGGGACCCCTGCTCTAGACACTAGGACTTAGATTTACCAATGAAATGCAAAAATTACCTTCATCTGAAGAGAGGCCTTCTGATGTTGTCTTTGGTTCAGGAGTAGCTTAATATTAAGACTGCTTCTTTCCCTGAGGACGTCTGTGGGTGGTGGCTCCTGATACTTTGACACCAGCATCATTCCACTCCTTGTAAAGCTTTCCCAAATTCTTTAATCGACTTTTCTTGTCAGTCTGCTCAAGGCTGCGGTCGTCCCTGTTGCCTTTGCATCTTTTCCTACCACACTTTTCCCATCCAGTCAGCTTTCCATTAAAATGCTTCGATACAGCACTCTGTGAACAGCCAGCCTTTTCAGCCATAAGTTTCTGTGGCTTACCCTCCCCATGATCGTCATCTGGACAACTGTCGAGTCAGCAGTGTTGTGGTAGTGTGTTCTAAACTAGATTGAGAGGTATATTGTATTTATAATGTTTGAAAATTCATTCATTCAAACTCAAAATGAAATCTTCAAATCATTTCAGATATATGGGCTCAAAATGTGGTCATAAATATTTTGTACTTGTAAATCAGGATTTGTATGTGTAAAAAAATTTTGTGTGTGGACTTAGCCAAAAAAAACCCCTGCAAGATACAAGTACGAATTTTGACCCTATTTTTCTTCCTTTCATCTGATTGGTCAATGTCATGTCAATCACAAATGTAACAATCCAATCAGAGAACAGATGGGTTTGGCTGTCGGAGGGGCGCTTTTTTTGAACTGCAGGTCTTTGAAGGGAATAAATGCCCTTTTACATGCCAACCCAGCGTTTTCCTTCATCACCACGAAGGAAAACAGTCTGTGGTCGTCCGAGTTTGGTGATTTTTGTGTCACAGGTCTACGTGTTTAATACAGGGACTTCCACAGCCTTTTCAACAGCACTGCGGACCGTGGGGTGGGGCGGGCAGTGTTTTGGAAATGACAGTCTTCATCACAAAGCTTTCTTCGTTATGAATTAGCATACATGTTTTTATTGAACATTTGAAGAACTAGCAAAATAAAAACAGAAACTCTTGTAGAGGACATAAAGTCAGAGATAGAAAAGATGCACCTGCTCCGGAGCAGGTGCATCTAGTACAGGTAGAGCTGCTGCAAAAACCCACAGAGCTCAGCAGCCAGCGCAAAAAATTCTGGATCCTTTGCTTTTAGTTAGCAGTTAGCATTAGCACCACATCCTGCGTCCGATGTGAAAGGACTTTTATGCTGCGCACTGTGACTCACAGCAATGGTCCCGGGTCAGCCCTGACTTTGTGTTAAACTAATCCTAAAGTAATAATGGTATTTCTAACCACTGATATACCACAACTTTATCCTTTCAACAGCTGCTGAAAGTTAGGGGACCTAGCTGCTATCGGATATTTATATAGAGATCCTCCAGCTTCAAACTGTATCACCCTTCAAGGACCTGCAGTTCAAAAAAGCGCCCCTCCGACAGCCAAACCCATCTGTTTTCTGATTGGATTGTTACATTTGTGATTGACATGACATTGACCAATCAGATGAAAGGAAGAAAAATAGGGTCAAAATTCGTACTTGTAACTTGCAGGGTTTTTTTGGCTAAGTCCACACACAAATCTTTTTTACACATACAAATTTTTTTCACGCACACGCAAATCTTTTTTACACATACACATCTTTTTTACGCACACACAAATCTTTTTTACACATACGAAACTGATTTACAAGTACAAAATATTTATGACCACATTTTGAGCCCATGCCAGATATTGCACTTCTGATTTTGTGAGCTGTAACCAACAATCATCAAAATTCAAACAAAAGAAATGAAGCTTGTAAGATTTCACTTCACATCAAATGACTATATGAAAGTAACTTTTCAGGATACTTGCATTTTTTGCACTAGTATATTAGTATAGTTAATAAACAGTTGTTTATCATGGCTGTTTTGCATCAACCAGCAAATATTTTATATACAGTGAGGTAGTAAAGTCCAGTGGTTCCTGACATAAGGGGAAGGCACCCCACAAAGATAATTATTAGAGGAATAAAAAGTTCCACTTTACAGTTTCCTCTGTCCTTTTGTTATTTATGTTGTGTCAGAGATTTACAGTTAACAAACAGTCAGGTGAGTAAACAACACTGAGACACTTGTTACTGATAACGTGCAGCACGGGTGAATCTCAGACAGAGAGACACACCGAACTGCAGTATTCGTTTATTTTTATAGGTTACATCGCAAATATAATCACATTTCCTGTTACGCAGGTCCTGATGCTGTCTGTGTGTAAGCTGTGTGTGTATGTGTCACAAAGTGTGTGTGTTACAAGTCAATTTCTAAGAATAAGATAATGCAGTCAACTTCTGCGGATGTGTATTTCTGTGCTGATCTCTTGCAGTAAATGTCACAGGGTCACAGGGTCAGCTTCCTGTTTCTTCAGAAAGCTGTATCTAGTGAAATATGTGAACATAAGTATAACATAACATTTGAAGCATAATCAAATAAAACAGTAAAAACTCCTTAACATGTTGTGACAGATATTCAGAGGCAGGACATTTTTGATGGTGTCTAAAAGCGTTGATAAGGAGTGATGATTACACACTTTCTTCTTAAGAAGGTCAGAGCTGAAAAGGCTGAACAGCGCTGCTTTAATCTTGAACAGCTCGTGCGATTTTACGCTTCAGCGAAAAAATTAATAAATTTAAATTTTTGGAGATTTTAGCCAGAGGTGGGGGATCTGGTTAAAGTCTCCATGCTGGCAGCAAAAAGTATGAGATAGAAGAGAATACATCTGAAATCTATACATTATTACAGTATGGAGTGCACTGCATACATAACAGAATGCTTTTGTATGTGCTTATGTACATGTGGAGGGGTATAAGTGGAGGATGTAACTATGACCTTTTGTTTGTAGCAATTGAGATTAAAGCCGATGTAAAGACAGCGCCAGCTCTCCTGGATCAGTTCTATGAAAAGCGGAGGCTGCTGATCGTGTCTGCACCCAACATGTCGGACCCTGACTACCAGCTCCAGAACATCATGACACAAGTGAGACTTTACTTGATCAGCCCAGTAAAGCTTCTGAAGCCGTTTAATAAGTAACAAGAACCCAATCATGTGTTTCCCCTTTTCCTGATTCAGAAAGCAGATTGTGGATTAGCCCTCCGGCACGTAACCGTGATCGAGCTTCTGGGCTCTCCTCCTCGTGAGACTGGCCGCATTAAAGAAAGTCTTCTTCAGCCTCAAGTCATAGAGGGTTTAAGGTAATAATTTATTTGTTCAACAGTTTTATGGTTCTTTTATGGGGACTTTAAAAAATCCATCCTGAAATGACTTTATAAAATTTCCATTTCACTTAACAGTCAGGAGTTATTTTCACAAACTTTAAATGTCAGGAGTCTCCTAATAAAAAGAGAGTCTCCATTCAAAGATTAACATTTCTAAATATAGCATAATAATCACTTCGATGGGATTTCAACAGACCCGACAAAACATCAGTAATAATCATCTGGCTTTTGGTTTCCCTGAGAAGCACTGCGATGCTTTTGAAGCTGAGAATTTTGCAGTAAAAATAAACATTAAAAAATAATTCATCTTAGGAAATGCCTCGATAAAGATTCTTTCCTACAACTGTGCAATTTGAGTAAGAAGCATTCCTCAGTTTTTCCAGACTGGAAACTCTTCCTAACCTAAGGTCTCACTGCAGACACACAAATCCTAAAGAGTACTGAGGTAAACTGAGTGAGCAGAGCACAAATCATCAGGGGAATTCAGACATCAATAAAGGGACATGTTTTATCTCAACATAGCTTAGAGTTGGAAGGAAATACATCTAATTGTAATTGAAAGCAATGAGTTGAAAGCCAACAAGTATAAAGCTGCACTGAACAATACTCTTTTTAATACAGTGATCGTGCACTCTCCATAGACTGTATATAAATGATGGCTGTAACTACCTTGCTGTAACCCATTGGTTCGCTAAATCCTATTTTGAAGACTTGTTTTGAACATTTTGGCTGTCACCAGCTTATTCTGAGAATATATTCATCACAAGGCAGTAATGTTATTCCAGTTTAAATGGGATCATCATTCACTTATTTTTTGTACTAAATAAGACATGAAACTAGTGATTGAGACCACAAACCAGAAATATTTTAGGATCTGTGTTCACATACAGTGTTTCTTGGGGTGGAAGCAACCTGGCGCTAATTATATGAGCACTTCTGTGAAGAGTTTATTATTGCTATGCTCTGCTTCTTAGTCTATTGCTATGCTAACACCCTGAGGCATTCAGAGCTGTAAAGCTTGAATCAATTTCTCAAGTCTCTAAAAAACATGCCTGACATTATTGTAACAATTTTATATGGTGTTATTCTGTGAGAGGCTGGGAGGCCCTGCAGGACTCAGAATTTGATACGTGGAAGATAACGGATGGATGTTTTTAAATTCAGGAATCAAGTGGTCAAAACTAAAATAGATAATGCAGCTTTTATACTCCAATCTGATCATTTTGAACACCTAAAGAATGATGTGTGACTACTTTGAGAAGGCAAACCTTGAAGCAAAAAGTTGACTTTTTTAAGCAACGTTTGCCAATTATAAATATCCAGCTATCCAGAATATTACAAGGATGAATTATTTGTAATTTTCACTGTAGAGGATGTGTTAATGGCTCTTATTGGGTTTCTCCACAGGCAAGCATTCAGAATATCCAGAAGCTACTTCAGCATGGTGCTCCTGGATGAGCTCGGTCTGGACCGAGAGCGCTTCATTTCCCCCGTGGGTTCAGATGAGCTGTTCTCCTACATCGACAGTTTCCTGCTGGACGAAGAGGAACGGGAGAAACTGGAGCTCCGCAGCGATTTCTGTGACTAATTTAATAAACCTCTGTCGTTGCCACAGCAATGCACTCATCAGTATTACTAACACACAGTAAGGACAAACAACCAGAAACCAGGTTCAGAGGAACATTTGAAGCGGGGAAAAAAAAGACAAGACAGCAGTTCCTTGTTTTAAAATGTGATTATACAACACTGAAGTGCAAGCACTGTTTGCTCTGTATTAAATCATCAGCCAAAGGGGTGCTGACAGCAGAAAGCGTTTGCCACAGAATATCTAGCATTTAAGATTAGAAGTAAAACACACCAGCAAATATGTGTATATACACACATATAGAAATGTAGATATGTATTTGTATGGAGCTTCTTTATTATCAAAGACAATTCCCAGCTGGACTCAGATGTAACCAAATTCCTTCTAGAAGCATCTTTCACCACATCCATACACTGAAATGCTTCCGAGCAGTTAGTCTGAAGCAGTATATAAATCAACTTTAATTCAATAGGATATAAACTTGCATGCATAACAAGTCAGATCTGATAAATATAATCTACTGCCAACTTTGCTCTAAAGGTTATAAAAGCTTTATCTCCTAAAAGTTATATTTTTTACCAACATTTAAAAAAAAAAAAAAGCGGAAAAAAAAGTGTAGCGTGTGTAGTGTTGCTCTCTTTTATCTTTAGTTTAAAGTGGAGAAAGCGAAAGAATGTCTGAGTTTAGTTTATTTTTGTTTTTTGGTGGAGAGAGCATTGAGGTAAACAGTGTTACCAAAGATAAAATGTTCTTTATTGAAAAACTTCTCATGCAAGTTATACAAATAGTAATGTAAATGCACTGGTATGGATTAAATAAAGCAGAATTTCTTAGAAGCGACAGCTGAAATACTGCATAACCAGTTTGTTTCAAATTGTTTTCCCACACCAGTATGCATCTCGACACAAATAAAGAGAACTGTGAGAAACTGCCAAGTGCTGTGCATGATTTTGAATAGCTAGAATATATATACAGTTTGAATTTTTAAAAAAGTGACTGTTTTAACAAAATAAATCTGTTGTGGTGATGCTTTGGCACGCTTCCAAAAGGTTAACACCCATCTGCAGTTTGGGGGCCGTGTTAAAGATGAACCCCGTGCAGAGAGAGCAGGTGTGAGCAGCTGTGGAGTGTCACGACAACAAACTGGGTGACCGCTCACTTCAAGAGACCGGCCTGCTCTGGTGTGACAAGCTTGAGAAAATAAAATTAATCCACAATCCCATGTTAGTCTCACAGGACACCGCTTCTCATCATCTCAGGCGTGTACTGTCCTCATTTGCCCTTCGCCTTCCCCATAGTGGAACGCAGTGTAAGAGTGCCCTCTGCCCATGAGTCCGGGTACTGCATCATCTTCTGCCAGAGACTAATCTCCTCTCCAACCGAGTCCAGCTCCACCTCCTCTTTGCCCACCTTTACTGTGCCTGCAGGGTTAAGATTGCACAGTCACTGCAGAATCGGTTTTTCTCATTAATAATAGTAAATTCTACAACTGTTTTTTCTCAAAGATGCTTAATTTTTGTATTTTAGTTTAATTGTAAAACCCATTATATTGGCATGAATTTCAATTCAAGTCATCTTTACTCCACTGTGACATATTGCTTGCTTTTAGGCTGACCAAATGTTAACAAACTAAATGTAGAGCAAAGAGTTTCAAGGACAAATATATTTTATATGAATGCAAATTTCCCAAACCCCTTGCTACTAAATATAGCACAAGGAAGCTAAAGCTTAGTCTTAAGGATGTTATTTCTGTTGTTTTGTCTTTTAATCATTTGATTTTGCTGGGGATACATCCATCAACAGCACATCTTTCTCCCATTACATTCCAGAAAGTTCTGCATAGCGTGTGATTGTGGTCAAATTTCCCAATGCTGGGTGTAGCTTGAACAAAGAGGGTAACATTTTACTTAGCAGGAGGAAGTAGCCTTTCAATGAAAGCCAGACCTTAGAACAGTTTGTTTTACATTGTTGATTTCTGAAAACAAAATTTGTATCTCAGTATGAGAGGTGAGGGGGACGAGAGATAAAAATGCTGTGCAGGCCCACATAAAGGACCATGTGGTCACTCCTGTCCGATTGCCCATAAATAATATCTGACAAATGAATTGGTTTGTTAACAGGTTATGGTTTCATGTTTTGTAAGATGATTGTTTTGTTTTTTTAAATACTGACTCACATCCCTTTGTGCATGTGCAGTTTTAAGTGCATGAAATGGGAGATGACGTTCATTGTGCTCATTTTTCATTCAAAAGTTCTTCAAACTTAAATATATTCCAGAGTCAGAAATGTTTTTCCTCTTTGCTTTTCCTTGTTGAAGTGCAGGGGGACTGGAGGGACTTTTGTATAAAAAAACAAAAAACAAAAAAAAACAAAAAACCCCCCCCCCAAAAACCATGCAACTTTAAAAGACACCCACAAAATGTACCTAACAAATACAGGTAATACTAAAGGAAGAGGAAACTGCTTAAAAAAAATATATAAAAATACAAATAATTAAAAAAAAAAATACTGGCAGCTGCTATAGCTACCACCCAGTCTCTCAATGGATGTGCCTATGGTACAAATTTGAAAATCCTAGGCGACTTTCTTCTCGAGTTATCACATTCCAAGATTTTTCTGAAAACTTCTGACCTGGATGTTGAAATAACTGAGATTCAAACTATCACATTAACAAACTTGGGCGTCCATGTTGCGCGCCTGCCTGTTGCTGTGATGAAAATACCCCATCAGCCTTTTACAGGTGAGGGGTAACAATGGTTGCGAACCTCAAAATCTTTGTAGTTTAATGATTTATTCCACTTGCTGGAGACAGCAGCAAAGAAAAAGAATAGTCTAGTTTATCCCCCCCCCAAAAAAAAACAGTCCATCTCACATATGAGCTTTAAAAGCCAGGTGAAAAAGACGACACCAGGACTTCATAGATTTGATCATTTACCTTCTCCGGAGCTGAGGCGGACACCTCCCAGGAATTCATTGCTGTGCAAGGACTCTTTGTCCCACACAGTCAGCTCCAGACACATCTCCTTCAGCTGCTCCAGAGTCAGCTCCTTGTACACGAATGTTTCATTGTAGTGGGGGTTCAGGCTCTTCTTCATAACTGGAGTCTTCCTCTTTGAGTTCTTTGCCTTAGTTGGGAACAGGTAGCTGCAAAGCCACAAACACCAAACTAATTTAAAAAATACAAATTCCCGTTTAAAAACCATGAGTGAGTTTATTTATTTTTTATTGGTTTAAGAATTGGACAGGTGATCACCAACCCCTTCACAAAGCTATCCGATGTGCCTCCTGACTTCATTGCCATCAAATTCTTTGCCTCCTTTATTAGGACATGCAGCTCTCCTCCTTCCTCCACCCTGGCTTTTTTGTCTGAACGGGAGAACAGACGAGCTCAGAAATTTGAAGCAAAGCCAGAGATAGAAACAGCCACTTTTTTTTTTTTACCTTTGGTTTTCTCAGCTGTTTGCTTTTTAGGTGTGACAAACTTCAAGGAGATAATCAATTCCCCTTTGTACTGAGCAAAAGCTGAAGGTGGCACAACAGAGGCTGCCTGTTTGAAAAGACAAAAAAAAGAAAAAAAAAGTTAATTTGTACACATGCCAATGTACTAACATGGAAACTCAAACCTGTAAATATATAAGACAACATCTGTAACAGCCAGGCTCTTTTCTTCATAGCTAATCAATACTGTTGCTTTGATTTAAATTGATTGACATTTGGGCTGCTCACTCTGGTCTGTAATGTGCTTTTTATTATTCTTGCTGCTTGCTGAAGCCATCATTTTGTCCGGTCTCCTGCACAAAAGCCACTGCTTTCATCCAAATGCACTGATCTACAGGTCAATAAGTTTCAGGGCGTTTTCCCACCTGCAGTGTTTAGTCCATTTATGCTTTGTATTCTGTGGCAAGGGTCTGTACGGGCTAGCATCTAGCTGTGAAATAAATTTTTCATCTTCTCCAACAGTCCAGAACACAACACCTCCTTTCTGCATTTACTGTTGTTGCTTCTGCCACAGACACATCAGGCCAATAAGCAGACTGATTACTCTCTATCTAGTGACGCATTTTGTTTTGCTTGGAGTGCACTTGGATTTTTTCTTTGTGTAAAAACAAATCAAATCACAGTGAAAAGCTACAAACTCATCAATGAATTCTGACCAGATTTAACAAACTATAGGTGTTAAAATGCCCTCAATGAAAAGCAGCAGTCCACAGAGGAAGACTGCTAGTGTGGATGCAGACAACGTGTAAAGCGTGTTCACTGTGGCTTTATCTCTAAGTAATAAAGAAAAATAAATCCAGCAAAAATGCAGGGCAATAGAGCACAAGCGCAAACGCTTCATCTAAATCAGCCCTCACCTGGTTTTACAGTGCTGCTTACAAAGACTCCCATGGTATGATCAATATTTTAGAGATCAAATTAAAGTTACATGAGCTTTATTAAGATTTCTTTACTGAACTTTCTATAATTAAACCTCAGACAGCTCAACCAAAGGTAATTTCTACAGTAAACAGCTCAAACTGGATCTTGTGATAACACAGCAGTTGGGTTTTACTGGTTTTCACAGATCATGTGACTTTACCCAAACAACTGCAGTTTATTGTCCATGTTGTAGATACCCGTATGATGCAATTCATAAAGGAAGAGACATCATTCACAGCAGCGTTGATAGAATTATAAATTAGTACAAAGGCTATTATTTCAGCCTGATAAAGGAAGGGGCTACCTGGTGCAGCTCTCCTTTGCTTAGAGACCCTTCATTCAAATTCTAGTTAATTCATAAAATGTTACATGGCTCTGGATAAAACAGTAAGCTGATGATGAGTGGTGAGGAAGGAGTAAATGTTTCAAATAGAAGGGAGACATTGCCTGTGTGAGGTCTCCTCACTTTAAAGTAATTGAGGTTTAAAGGTCACAGTGTCACTAAGAGAGGAATCTATCAGCAAACACCTGCTGGCATTTTGCAGATAAACCAATTAAAATCAATATTTTAATTTGTTAACCGTTTCATCTAAAATGGTCCAGCTTTGTTTGTATTAGTCACATGGTCGAGGTAGTCATTCAGGCTTCCTTCAGTGCTTAAACTGGGTGGGGCATCAGTGCACGCCCCCGATACGCAGTTTAAAATGTGTGCAAACTCCACCTATTCAGCACAACGCAGATGTACACTCTGCATCGGACCTCATGGGTAAACAAGCCATTTGTTGAGTTTCAACATAGCTACAAGAAAACTCCTTAAAGAGCACAGAATCTCTGCTCTACCTTTGCCAGGAGAGCCATGCGCTCCTCCTGTGGGGAGTCGAGGTCTCTGCAGTCCAAGGGGATCTCCACCTCTCCCAAGAAGGCGTTGCGGCTGAGGCGACCATGATGCCAGACTGATATCGAGAGGGAGCGAGTGGACAACTGAGAGCGGTTGATAGAGTACTGGTAGAAGAAGAGAGGAGACGTGATGATCAAAAGCCTGGTAGATAATTCTCCAACGCGTGGCTTTGAGGAGCTTTTTAGCCCATAGTTGAATCTCGTCAGCTCACCAGGATGCCACAACCCACACAGTTATTCGCCGCTCACATTTTCAGTGAAATGTGCAATATTCACAAAAAACAAAACCTTTTTTTTTTTTATACTGAATATGTATTGACCCATAACTGATTGACCCAAAATGCCCATTTTAAGCCAAACCCTGATCTGCTTCTGAAACAGCTTTGTAGTTTCAAATTATAATTTACAATCTGGTTAAACAATATGATCTCAGGTGTGGGTGGTGAAATAATTCACACCACTGCTACTGCTTCAACCTCCAAATGTGGACATTTCAGTCTTTTAAAAGTAGACAGGAACACAAACTATGACGTGAAAAATTGAGATTATTTAACAACAAAAAAAACAAAACATGTTGAGATGGATCTTTCTGGTTAATTTCCCTGTCAACAGTTTGCTACTCTGCTTAAGCTGACTCTACACTGAAGGCTGGGACTAAAATCAATATTTGACAACAGCTACTCTAATCTGCAAAGTCAATATCAACCTTAAGGTCTCCGTAGGTGCGGTCATTATTTGCAGCAGACATGGCGCAAGGTCGCTAATAAGGGAGCGTCTTTAAGTCAACAGGGTAAGATCAACAGTTGGAGTCCAGTTAGGCATGAGAAAAATGATAAATCATCACCTTTAAAGTTTCACTGTAGACTGGGTTTATAATGTTTCTCTTGGTGCTGGTTTTCTTTTTGCTCTGGCGAGATTTGTCAGGGAGCAGATAACATTTGACATAGCTGTAACATAAACACAGAAGCAGGTCAAATCATGAGTCTCCCTGTCATTATTACTGCTCATCTGTTGTATCTCCTGACTAAATGCTGAGAAAAATGTTTGTCTGTTGACACTCAATTTCCTGTGAAGCTCAACTAATCAGCTCTGGGATGCGTTTACTGAGACTCAGTAAACACAGTAACCTCTTATCGACATTGATCAAAGCTTTGCTTACATTACTGAGGGGTGTGTGCGCAGTAGAAAAATGTGTAGTTTTTAGGCACAATCAATAGTGCTGCTTAATCTGAAGGTTAAAGTTTGACTAAACTTCGCTTTTAATTTTAAATTCTGCCAGTTGGAGATCGATGTAGGTTTGGAGTGTAGTGAAAGCTCTTACGGGTTGCAGACACTCCGTGCAGCATCGCCATAAGCCAGCTGATGACACTCCTTGATGAAGACCTGGAGGCTCTGGCTGCTCTCGTCGTAACTTACAGAGAACACAACATCTCCCTTCACCTCCACACTGTCAAAGTCTCCAGCTTCACTGTAAAGGCTCATCATGCTGCCCAGTGTGCTCTGCATGATAACAAACGATCATTAACGATGCCTGCATTTGTTTCAAGTTGATGACAAATATTCAATTTTAGTTAATAAGTGGAGAAACAGACTCAGTGCTTCAGTTTAAAAAGTAATAGCAAGGGAACAAAGAAGCTACAGATTGAGAAAAATTCTACAAAGATACAGAAAGATTGTTAGGGACAAATTGAGTTAAGCATTGTCAGGATGTTTCGTAAATCCATATTAATAGCATTAAAGTCGTCTTGGTGACAGCTTTGCCTTCTATTCAGGCTCTGGTAACTATAGAAACACTTTGCTGGACTCGCACTATCGGTTTTGCACTTCCTAACGCGCTAGAGGATTTCCTGAGGTTAAAGATCCTTGTTCAGATAAGTAAGTATCAGCTCTGTTATGAGACACGTAATGAGCTGCACTTCAAAAACTACTTGAGAGATCTAATGCGAGTTCTGTCATTACTTTACCTTTGAGCCACGCAGGCTGGAGGAATTTGAGTTCATCGTTCTTCTATGAAAGCTAACCAAGCTGTCGATATCTTCTTCCTCTTCTTCATCTTCCTGCGGCACCACAATACACACTTAGCAAGTTTATCATACACACACAGACTTTGAGACCCAGCAGAATCATCTAGTTTCAAAAAGGTATTTGAGGTTTTCAGAAAAATAAAAGTTGATTTAATAACCATTTAGCTATTGACTAAATACCCACCAAATTACCGATCAAACCAATGGCATTTTAATTTAAAGGGCAGAATATATCAAAATTTATTGATCACCAAATGGATTGACCTGGATTTTGCTAACACAATGCACACTTTTCCAGCAAAAAAGATCTCCAATGATGGATGAAGGGCGTGCCCAACAGTTTCTCTAGCTTTCCAATTTACACTCACTTCACAAAGTGAGTGGCTAGCAATGTAGACGTGAGAGGCTTAGGGGTTAGCCTCCTGTTGCATGCCCAACCACCACCTTTATGCAAGTTATTACACAACCGCCTCCATCACTTAACAGACAGACAAGATTTCATCTGGAGGGACCGTCTTTGAAAATGTTCACAGTTATTGCTCTTTTAAAATAACAGAATGCCACCTCTCGCCTGCCTTTGCCACTCAACCTTGTGAAAGTTAATCTGGCTTGAATGCTGTTGATATCCACCACGAGAACAACTACTTTTGATCAAATCTAACAGCCCAGAATGTCACTTCTTCTGCCCTTGTCATCACCTCTGCTGTCAAAAATCATCCTTAGACATACTTAAACATCCTCTGAAACTGGAAAGGTAGCACTGGGGATTAAAAGAAGGCAATAAAATGGTTGCAGGATCCGTTTTTGATGATTCTTTCACATAGCTACATTGATGGAAACAATGTTATCCTTGGTAATTAACTTTAATGTGACATTATAAAATCTAAGCAGCTACACACACACTCGCCTGTATATCCAAGCCTGGTACAGATCTGCTCCTTTTGCCCAGTGATGCCTCTGATGTGTCACGTTCATTACGCAGGTCCAGTGTTGATGCATACTCTAATGAACACACCAGCAATTAAATACATATAATGAATACAGAAAAAAAAACACCACATTTTTGTTGTGATTACGGGGAACAACACTGCACATGTTAACAGACAATACAAACCTGCAGGTTTTGTGCCTCGCTTGATGCTCTTCTTAAAGAGTCTATCAACATCCAGCTCTGGGTTTACAGTGGAGGATTTTACTTCTGGGGCCTAAAGTGACCAGAAACAAGATGCAGTCAGAGAAGAAGGTGGCGAAAATATTTCAAACAATGAAAACTATCTTACAGTGTTGATCTCTGCGTTGGTGGTTTCACTGCTGACAGTATCTGCTTTGATGGAGACAGTCAGACTGGAATTACTGGATCCTACTGGGCTGGTTCGAACAAAGCTGTTCTCCTTCCTGGTTGGCAAAAGAAACAGACATTTAACAACTACAATAAAGACCTTTTTTGTTCTAATATACAAATAAAAACTTTTAGTTTTGTAAAGAAGTCCCATTAGCCTCAGATTTGTGTTTCATTTCAGTTGTGTGACCTCAGTTCTGAAATCGAGAATGGGAGAGCACTTTAATTAAAACTACTTTGGTGGCTATTTGAGGCCTGTGACCCTACTTAGCATACAAACTGAAAACTGTATTAGAAACAAGCCCCCAGCTGGGCTTCCTAATTTAGATGGGATATTATGCTGTTCATGATCCCATTTCTAAGGATATAGCACAAATCAACACATAATTATACTGACAGTAACACGAACAAGTGTGAAGTCCAAGGTCAGATATGATGGAAACTTTGTTTAGATATACTAGGGCCTTACTTTGCAATAGTTTCTCATCTTAGAAATGATTAACAACTAGGTGAATATAGGAGATTAAATATGCTGCTTTACTATACTGCAACATCACTGAACTTTTGAGAATATTTACATTGCAATAAGTTCTTTCTTTAGTACACAAACATTTCAGGCTTAATAACAATCAAATGTAGGTTAAAATGGCTTTAATTGCTCTACTTTCTCATAACGCTGTCACATAAATATCATTATCTGTTAGTTTAAAAATACAGTCTACAGACCCCACTTTGATCTTAACGGTGTCAGACTAAATACTCTACTCAATTAGGAGCTAAACACCATGTAGAAGAGAGCTAAATGCTGCTATTCCAGTCTCAAAAATTGCTATTTGATCAGCTACATCTGGGTTTACCTTGGTTGCTCAGGCTCGGGGGTCACACGGCCAGACTCCGTCTCAGTTTTAACGCTGGCTATACTGGAACTTTCTACAGACTCCGTGTCACTGCGATTTGAGTTTGATTGGACCTTTAATTCTTCCTCCTCCTTTGATTCCAATGATGCCCTTGAAGTGATGGATCCAATATAACTGCTTGAATTACTGTCAACAAAAATGCGAGTTTGAGAAGTGGTTTAATGAACATTTTTAAAACCAGACAAAACTGATGTTAAGAGTGACAGCACACCTGTTGTCAACCATCTGAAGTTTCTGCTTCGTCAGAGACGGATACTTAGGAGGACCTGAATTTATTTCAGAACTACTCAACAGGACTTCACCTGCTGTCTCTCGTTTCTTCGCTATAAACACAGAACAAAAAGCAAACAAGAAAAAAAAAAAGTGAACTGTAACGTCACTGCTCTGACTGCAGGCCGGCTGATGTTTACATAACTAGCTCAACAGTTCTACTTCCTGTTAACTGTACTCACATGGCTGCTTCTTTCTCAGGGAGACTCTCACTAGGTCATGCCCAGGTGTTGTAGAGAAACGGTTGACCCGCTGATTGTAGAACCAGTCACCCGTTCTTTTCTTGACATCACTAGAATCCCATATAAATATTCATCAGTTAACTAACAGATTTGTTAATGGTTATCCAACAAGGTGTGAGCAGTATGTGACCAATATGTGAGAGTGCAGAACACGACATATATAGTGATTATCCTGAAAACAAGCAGTTCTGGGTTTTCATTGATGTTTCTGTTAATGCCCAAAAAATGTTGCAAGACAACGAGGAGAGGAAGAGATGAGTGGTGAGATACATTTCACACTGCATAGCTGATCATCAACAGATGTGGTTTGCAAGACCAACAGTGATTTTTCATACAAATATTTGGTTATTTATTACTACTATATTGACAAATACAGTAAAAATCTAAAACAAATGGGTTAAACCAGATACTCTGTCTGGATGGCACCAATAATATTGTGAGAAAGTTTAGAGTCATTTTTCACCAGGATGTCCTTTAACGCACACATAAAACAAAACTTTAGGACTGCCTTCTTTCATCTGTTCAGTACGGCCAAAAATGACATAACATCTAATTACTCTGTTACTCCAGAGTTGGACTATTGTAATTACCCATTATCAGGTTATTCTAAAAGCTCATAGAAAGCCTTTGGTCCAAAAACACCACAACAAGCACTAACAGGAGCTAGAAGGAGAGATCATATTTCTCCTTTGTCAGGTCCCATCACATCTTAAAGACCTCTTAGTATCATATTATCCCTATAAACAACTCAGACTGCAGGCTTACTTCAGGTACCAATCCCTTCTCCTTTGGAACCAGATCTCAGTTCATCTTCAGGAAACACCCTCTCTACTTTTAAGATCAGTTTACAACTTTTTGATAAAGCTCATATTTAGAGCCAGATCAGATGAACCTGAACCATAATTTTGTAATTCTGTTACAGGTTTAGGCTGCTGGGGGCACTTTGTATTATACACAATGCAAAATAAAACCTAGCAAATCATCATTAGTCTCAAAAGCAATTCATGCGCTGTCACTTCACGTGACAGAGCAATTCATGTGTCTGTTGAACTTGGATGAATACCAAAAGCAGCTCTTCCAGTGGCTAGTCAAAACCTCCCAGATGCTGTCCGCTGACCTATCCAAGTTACACAAAAATGTTCATGTATCATAGAAGTGCCTGACATGTAGGAACACCCAAGAAGACAAACAGCTGACTGGCACTGTGTCACCTGGAAACCTGAAGGACCAATCCTATAGCATCTTTGTAAGCCACTGCAAACCTGCATCAATGATGAGCTATATTCATAACTGAGCTAATTAATGGGCAGAAATGAATTGAAAGGCCACATATTTCTGAGGCAATGCAGACTTTAAAGCTCAGTGGGCTATCATACTCAAGAATTGGCAAAACCAAATTTTTCCTGGTTAAGAATTGGCTTAACCAGGAAAAACTGGTTTCGCCAATTTAAATAAAAATATCAATAAAAATCTTTTACCCTTCAAATCACCAAAGAGAAAAATGACAATAGAGTTTTAATTGCTTTAATATGTGATTAAAAAATTACCATTATAATTTTCTGGTCAGTATCTGCATTCAAAACTACACAACCTGCTCTCAAAGTTGGTGAGGATTTTGGACAAGGATGAAATATTTCTTTTCAGCCACAATGGGCACCTTAAATTATTCTGAACCAATCTTATACATTGTCCTAAAAATATTCGTTTGTGTGTAAAATGTGGAAGAAAATCTACAGCTGAAAATTGTCAAGGCAGTTTGCTTTGAGAAATGGCTGCTTAAGTATTTAAATATTCAGAAGCACGAATGGGAATCTTACTTGGGCTTTGATGGAAATCTCTCAAATATAAAACATCAACCTAACCCCACACACCCTGTTCTTTGAAGATACAATATTTGTTTCATTTAAAACGTTTCTTACGATTCTTTGGCACACACGTTGCACAGCCAGGATCCATCGGGCAGGACCATCCGGCAGTTGCGACATACGACGTGATTGCACATCTTACACTGGCTGGAAAAAACAGTCAGTCGGCTCAAAGGCTCCAGGCATCGGCCACAGCTATGCTGACTGTATTTTTCACTGGCACGTTTGGCCCCTTTCCTCTTAACATCCTGCAGCTCTGTCTTCAACTTCCTGAGCCAAACACGCCACACAAATGCCACATAGTCAGTTTCACTTAAACAGTCATATGGCAAAGTAAACATTTTGCTGGATTTCTTTAAAAGAACAAAACAACCCAAAAACAAACAGTACATGAAGTAAGTTTTTAAACATATACTTTTTGTAAATGTTAAAGTATAATTTTATTTCAGAACTTGTGGTCATTATCAAGGTGTAGTCCATAAATATTACTCAATTACTGTAAAGCCTGATATAAAGAAGTAATAGTGCGAGACAAGAATTATGAAATTAAAATAATATGTACAGTGTCTTTGTTACTCAGCTTCTAGTGTAAATTTGTCTTGTGCATTAAAGAACTTGGGCGGAATGTTGTTTAATTTTTTTAAATACTTGTGCAAATAAAATGAGACATTGTTGCTGATAACAAGATTAGACTTTACTGCAATACTTCAATTCAGCAAAATATGCTAACTTCAGAGGGCAGGTGGATTAAATTCATCTGCATTAAGCAAAACTGACAATTTGGTAAATTGTCAGTTTTGAACAAATTTCTAATCTGTAATGTACAACCCACCCCAACACATGTTTACGACTTACAGTGTACAACAACAGAAAAGATTTACAAAAGCAGGACAAATGCCTAAAAGGCTTAAATATCTTAAATTACAGAATAAACTTAAGCAATGAAGACTGAACATTATAAACACTAGAAATTAAACATCTTAGCAAAATACTGAATGTGTCTCAATACAGTCAAAATATTGGCCTCAGTTCTCTATAGCCGAGTCCTCAGTCTAACAATCCTGCACTGAAATCTCTGCAGAGGTTTCTGAAACGACTTCGCCTGCTTCCAAAGTGCACAGTCAGACGAGGCTTTAAGTTCTTTTTCTTTAACAGAAGAACTTAAACTGCAACAACACTTGCATCAAACAGAACATGCATGCATTTTTTTTAACCTTACCGAACACCTATACTGTTTAAAATATGTTGTCTATAATATGTTTTATGATGGGCCAGATGAAGGCCACAACATGAAACATATCAGATAAACAAACCGTATGTATTCCCGGAGCTTTAGCTTCTTCAGGTTCTTTTGACTGCTAATTTTATACAGTTGCAGTTTTTAAAATGTCCTGGTGACCACATCAATGCTAATGTAGATCATACTTTAATATAAGTGCAAAGTTTTGTTGTTTTTTCCTTTTATAAAGAAGGAGCTTTGAAGTAGAAACACTCCATGCTTCATATGATGTGTTTCTTCTACACACCTCTTCACTCTGTTCGTATGTACACCACTTTGTATTTATTAGTCATTAATAATCTCTGGCTCTCTTCCACAGAGTGTTTTACGTTTGTCTTTCTCCCCTTCCTCACAACCGGGTCATGGTAGGTGGCTGCCCCTCCCTGTGTCCTGCTGGAGGTTTTGTCCTGTTTAAAGAGAGATTTTTTCTTCCCACTGTCACCAAGTGCTTGCTCATAGGAGCTCATCTAAATTTGTGGTCTTCTTTTCTCTTTACAGTACAAAAGTGCCTTGAGGTGACTCTTGCTGTGATTTGGTGCTCTATGGATAAATATGAGTTGAAGTAAAAGTGAGCAGTCTCAGATACTTTTCAAGATGCTCGTCAAGCGCCAATAGCTCCAGAATGACTTAATGATATCTAGCACTGCACAGTGCACTGTTGCCTCATGGTAACAGGGTCCCTACTTTGAGGGAGTTTGCATGTTCTCCCCATGTCTGCATTTGTTACTCGAGGTAGTTCAACTTCCTTTCAGAGTCCAAAGACATGCACATTTGGTTAACTGGCGATTCGAAATCAGCTGATGTAAGATAAAATGCTTTACATGTATAGAATGAAGTTCTCTACAAATATATTTTTAGTTTTAAGCACTCTGAGTGAACAGTAAGTGTGGAAAAGCACTACATTGCAAGTACATTACATAGTGTTTTCTTCATAATGATGCAAGACGGGGGACCTATGGACAAGGTTTCCAAACAATATTAAATAGATGAAAACAGAGGCTCATTCAGAAAGCGACTAAAGCAATATCTGTGGAATTTTAATCCAGTTGCAACTGACACATTACAGTTTTTGATTGCTATTGTTATTTTATTGTATTAGTTTTGTCATTACATTTCTTTTTGCAGCGTTGATATTTTGAATAGATGTGCATTTTGTTAAAACTAAATGGAATTCTAATAAAAACAAAACAATCAGCAACAGTCAAACAATGAATCCAGATGCATCTAATACTGTAAGAGACAGCAATAAGTATCTAGAGCCAACACATTAACAACAGTGACACTGACAGTGTTTTTGTTTTGTTTTTTTCTTTAAAAATAAAATCAGATTACAATATCTATATCTTTTGTTCTCCTATTTTTGTCTATTATTTTTATCTATGAAAACGAATAGTTATGTCTATAACTTCTGTTCCCTGAAGGAGAGGAACGAGGTACAACACATAAGTATGGGATATCACGCCCTCGCGTGTCCTGGCTGAAGAAACCTTTATTCACGCCTTTACGGCAGATGACGTGTGATGACACGCGCAAGGCCCCGCCCGCACATATAGCCGCTGCCATCACCGTCATCCCTCAGTTCGATAGCCGCTCTTCACCGAGCCAACTGCTCAGTGGGGCCACCCTGTGTTGTACCTCGTTCCTCTCCTTCAGGGAACAGAAGTTATAGACATAACTATTCGTTCCCTTTCAGTCGATTCACTCGGTACAACACATAAGTATGGGACCTATATACACGCCCCGCAGAGCAGCCACCGAACCGGAACGGGACCACCACATCCTCAGTGAGTGGTAGACCCAGCAGAAAGGACAGCATGAGCCACCGAAGGGCTGTAACGTCCAACCGATAAAACCGCACAAAAGTGTGCGGCGACGCCCAATTAGCCGCTGCACAAATATCAGCCACAGGCACCCCTCTAAAAAGAGCCCATGAGGTCGCCATCCCCCTGGTGGAATGAGCTCCCACCCCGTGGGGCAACGCAAAACCTCCGGTGCTGTATGCCAGCGAGATAGCTTCTACAATCCAGTGGGACAGCCTCTGTCTGGACAGAGCTCTACCTCTATTCGGATTAGCGAAGCAGACAAACAACTGGTCACACAAACGCACATCCCGAGTGCGCTCAATGTAGGTGCGTAGCGCACGCACCGGACAAAGAGAATGCACCCTCCTCTGCTCCTCAGATTCAAAAGGAGGGGAGCAAAAGCTCAGCAACTCAAACTCCATCGAACTATAAGATGCAGGCATGACCTTGGGAAGATAGGCGGCATTCGGACGCAATACGACCTTGCGGCCATCAGGAGAAAACTGTGTGCAGGCAGGATGCACAGACAGCGCGTGAAGGTCCCCCACTCGCTTCGCCGAGGCCAAAGCGAGAAGTAATGCGGTCTTATACGAAAGAAGTTTCATATCTACCGACTCAACGGGTTCAAACGGAGGGCCACAAAGGGCCTCCAGCACCAAAGACAAGTCCCAAGCAGGGACACTGGACTTAAGCACGGGCCTCAGCCGGCGAACCCCTTTCAGAAAACGCACGGCGAGGGGATGCGCACCTGGTGTCACCCCGTCAAAACCGATATGACAAGCAGATATAGCCGCTAAATAAACCTTGATCGTCGAAAACGAAAGGCCTTTATCCAACAGCTCCTGCAGGAATGTCAAAACATCCACAATAGAGCACTGAAATGGGAGAGTGTGGCGGCCCTGGCACCATCGCTCGAAGGCTCGCCATTTGTAAGCGTACAAGCCTCTAGTAGACGAGGCCCTGGCGCTCTGAATCGTCGCTACCACACTAGGTGGCAGACCCTTAGCAACCAAGTTTAACCTCTCAGCAGGTAAGCATGAAGGTGCCACAGATCCGGGCGCGGATGAAACACTTCCCCCCCCGCCTGAGAGAGGAGATCCCTGCGGAGAGGAAGCTGCCAAGGACTTGCTGCAAGCAGGCTGATTATTTCTGCATACCACGACTTCGCGGGCCACCAAGGGGCCACCAGGATCAGAGAGAGGGAATGCCGACGCACCCTCTCCAGAATTGGAGATATCATTTCCACTGGGGGAAATGCATACAGGAGCACGTCCGGCCATTGGTGCGCTAGCGCGTCCAAGCCCAAGGGTGCATCGTGGTCGATTATGGAGAAGTACAGGGGGCAGTGAGCATTCACCCTGGAAGCAAAAAGATCTATTTGCGCCTCGCCAAATAGATCCCAAATCTGAGCCACTATTGAAGGGTGTAACCTCCATTCTCTCACCAGAGGACCCCCCTGGAGAGAAGGTCCGGCCCCAGGTTCAGGTGGCCCGGGACATGGGTGGCTCTTAGAGTCAGAAAATGAACACTGCACCATAACAGCAGAGAGCGAGACAGCTGCAACAGGGGAAGAGAGCGTGTTCCTCCCTGCCTGTTTATATAAGACACCACTGTTGAATTGTCCGTCCTGACTAAGACATGCTGGCCCTGCAGGACTGGACGGAAACGCTTTAGAGCTAAGAACACTGCTAACAGCTCTAAGTGGTTGATGTGCAGCTGGCGCTGAGCCGCGGACCAGATCCCTCTCACTGACGCACCCTCGCACAGCGCTCCCCACCCACTTAGGGAAGCATCTGTGGACACCACCTTGCGAAACAACACCCTCCCAATCCGAGAGCCCTGGTGCAGTAGCCCGGGCTCCCTCCAAGGACGGAGAGCTAGCATGCAAGACGCAGTTACCGGCAGCCTCCTCCGGAGGTGACGCGAAGCACACAAACGGTGAGAGAGAGTCCAGCGTTGAAACGCTCTCATTTTCAACAGCCCAAGCGGCACTACGGCGATCATAGATGCCATCATGCCCAACAAGCGCAATATCGTCTGGAAACGCAGTCTGCGTCCCAGCTGAAATTGAGCGAGGCAGCGATGAAACGCGGCCACTCTGTGCTCTGACAACCGTGCGCGGCTGGAAAGAGAGCATATTTCCAGACCGAGAAAAGCGATCTGTTGACCTGGGATTAGCGAGCTCTTCTGAAAGTTCACAGAGAACCCCAGTGTCTGAATGTGTGACAGAACCCGCGACAGCTGCGTCTCCGCCTGTTCTCTGGAGCAAGCCACGAGAGCCCAGTCGTCCAGGTAGGCCAAGATGCGGATGCCCCTCTTCCTGAGGGGCGCTAGCGCTGCCTCGGCACATTTCGTAAAGGTGCGGGGAGCGAGCGACAGCCCGAACGGCAGCACTAGGTATTCGTAGGCTACGCCCTCGAATGCAAACCTCAGAAACTGCCTGTGTTTCGGGTGTATAGCTACATGAAAATAAGCATCTGTTAGATCGATTGTCGCAAACCAATCTCCCGGGCCGACTGCACTCAGGAGCTGTCTGAGTGTTAGCATCTTGAACCTGTACGTTCGCAGGTACGTGTTCAAGACTCGCAGGTCGAGGATGGGACGAAGCCCTCCCCCTTTCTTCGGAATGACAAAATAACGGCTGTACCAACCTTTGTCCGTCTCCGAAGCGGGGACCACCCGTATTGCTCTCTTCTGTAATAGCGCCTGTATTTCCTCTCTGAGTACCAAGGCTGCCTCGGGGTTGACAATCGTGTTCACGACTCTTTGGAAACGAGGCGGCTTGACCCGGAACTGCAACCGGTAACCCATGGCAACGGTTTGCAGCACCCACGGAGAGGGGGCGCAAGCGCGCCACTGAGGGAAGTGAGCAGCCAGCCGGCTGGCCTGCAGCACTGACGGCGGGGCGCCGTCGCCCCCAGTGTGTCTGCAGGGGACTGCATCCCCTGCCTGACCTGGCTCATTTCGCCTGCAGGTTGAGCATTTGAGATTGTTTGAGAGTAAACCACACTCTTTATTGATTGCAACATGGGAACATGTACATTTATACATTTTGTTGGGTGCACCTTTTCCGGGGCATAACAATGAAAAACAGCGGGAACACTCGATGTGGTCGCTTGAACATTCAACACATCTGAACCGTGTGCAGGGGTTATGTGCTTGGGAGACCGCGATAGGGAAGTGCAGCGCCTTCTGGGGCTGACAACCTGAACAGAACTTAAGCGGCACCTCTTGTGCGGCAACAGAGGGGTAAGAGCAGCGTCTCCCTGCTGCCGGATCCCTTCCCCACTCGCAATCACAGCTAGGAGGGCTGAGGCTTCTTCCTCCTGGGCGTCGGGTCCCGTCGGGGGCCCGGGGGAGGGCCTTTGCCCCAGGCCGACTGGCGTGGAGCTCGGGCCGGAGTACGTGCTCTCGCCGGCGGCCCTCCCACTCCAGCAGTGGGCGCCGGTCTCTTGCCAGCTGTCAGAGGAGCGGCGGGCCTGTGAGAGCTAGCAGTGGGCTTGGGCTGGGGCTGGCGTCTGGGGATGATGTCGCGCAGAGCTTCCGTCTGCTTCTTCCTCAGATCAAATCTAGCCTGAATGGCTTCAAGTGAATGTCCGAATAACCCAGCCGCAGACACTGGTGCGTCCAGATACACAGCTCTGTCTCTATCAGGGACGTCGGAGAGGGTCAGCCACAGGTGCCTCTGCGCCACCACTGTCGAAGCCATCCCTCTGCCCAGGGAGAGCGCTGCACAGCGAGACGCACGGAGGATGTAATCCGTGGTGACTCTAACCTCGTTAAGAAGAGGTGACAGCGGGCTGTCCTCCGGAACCAGCGATCCAAGCTCCGCCAGGCACATTGCTTGGTACGTCTGGAGCATGGTGACGGAGCTCATGGCTCGAGCGGTGCCGGCCTGAGCCCGATAAATCTTCTCCAGCTGCGAGGCCGAGAATCTGCAGTGCTTGGACGGCAGAGTTGCGGGGCCACCGACACCATGGTTATGGGACGGGGCCAGATAAGCAGCCAGAGACGGCTCCATAGGGGGTGGGTTAGCTAAACCAGCTCCCTCGGCGCCGTCCAATTCCATGTACTGTCCATAGCCGGGCACAGTGACGCGGGTAGACAGAGGTTTGTCCCATGACGCTGTTAGCTCGCAGAGAAAGTCTGGGAACATGGGGAGGCAGTTTTTGGCCGTTGCGGGCTCCGGTGGAAGGAAAAAACCCGCAAACCGCGACGGCTTCCGAGCTGGTGGAGGAGAGGGCCAGTCCACCTGCAGCTTCTCAGCGGCACGGCGAAACAGGGAGAAAAGAGAGGTGTCATCGTGGCCGACCGGCGCAGCAGCGGCGGCATATTGGGTCGACAATGAGCTCTCCTGCTCATCCTCCGACAAACCATGGATGTCCAGGCCGATGTCCAGCACGTCATCGTCTTCCTGGGGAGCGCTGGCGGGCTTCAACCCAGGCTGAAGCCCGTCAGCGCTCCTGCATGGTTCCGGTCCGTCATCGGCTAACCCGTCAACGTATTCCATGTGGTCAGCCCAGCTAATCGCGGGGACATCGACCTGAAAATTTTCGTCTTCGGACTCGGACGAAGCCGGGGCTCCAGACTCGGAAAGAAGAGGGTCATGCCGTGCGACAGCCGAGCGTCCCAGCACTCTTTCCACAAACGTCACCCGTCTTTCCAGGGTCGAGCGTCGGAGCTGGCGACAAAACGCACAAGCTTCGGGCTCCGTCAACGCTCTCCTAGCGTGGACGATCCCCAGGCAGACAGGGCAGGCATCGTGCTGGTCGCTGTCGTGCAAAGAGAAACCACATCCCTGAGGACAGGGGCGAACAGAAGATTTCTGCTTTGCTCGCTTCGGTTTGGAGTCCATTCCCAAAACGCAAAGCGAAACGCTGCACAAGAAAAACTTGAAAATAGCGCTCCGCGGGCAGCCTACGCACCAGCTGGGCGGTGGAGGCTAACACCAACAGGGGCAGTTAAGCTAGGTTCAAGTTGGCAGACAACGGAGCTAACTAGCAGTAGCTAGCTAGCCCAACTCAGCAGAGGTGTTCTCAGCGAGGTGAAGAGCGTAAGAACTGAGGGATGACGGTGATGGCAGCGGCTATATGTGCGGGCGGGGCCTTGCGCGTGTCATCACACGTCATCTGCCGTAAAGGCGTGAATAAAGGTTTCTTCAGCCAGGACACGCGAGGGCGTGATATCCCATACTTATGTGTTGTACCGAGTGAATCGACTGAAAGGGAACCACAAAGCCACCATGCCAATATTACTTTAACTGGATTAAGCTACTATCATCCAGCTCTTAGTTGAACCCTGACAATAAATATCAAGTCCCTACAAGTATCAAATGCCAACTGGGCAAATTTCTAAATAATTAAAATACTATCTGAAAAGTTGAATATAACGCATGGGAATACTTTTGTGAAGTAAAAATGGCTAAAAATAAAACAGAATAGAAGTGCAGTAAAAAAATAAATGTATAAGCGGCAGATATGAGTTGATTTTGGTACTTCTAACAACTAAATAACAAGTGACTAACTGACAGGTGTGGAAAAATTAGGAGCCTCTTCTCACCGCACACGCTGGTCCTCAGCCTGTCTCAGCTTCTCATCTCGTCGCAGCACCTCCAGGATCAGCTCCCGCTCGGATTCAGACAGGAAGCCCAGGTTTATCATGTCAACAGCCTCTGGCATGGCGTCTGTATCCAAGAACCCTTAGTGCAGGTGAACTGGCTCAATCGAGTCACTTTTACATCGAGATGTCACTGAGGACAAAGCAAGAACATCAGGAGTTGAGCGTTTATGCAAAAAGTGTTTTTTTTTAATTAGACCTTCCAACTAATGCTTGACTTTACTACAGGACAACCTGCTTTCCTATGATCTCCTGTAATGCAAGCTCACCAGAGCCCTTGAGTGAAAACAGGAACTTAGTGACTCGAATCCCTGTGACGACAATACAGCCAGACAGAAACAGTTGTGTTTATGTGGTTTTAATCAAATAACTGGGAGACGACTGAGTGACCTTTCCTTCTTCCTGTTGGCTTCCATACAGGGAAGTTGCTGCTGCCAGTATGCCATCCTGCATAACTCAGCTGGAGATTTCTCATTGGATTATTTAAATCTCATGCCAACATCAACAGCAAAGCTTGCCTGGTGGGAATACTGATAAAACAACCAGGAATACTTTCTATTTCAAGAGACGACTCTGGAAGTTTCTGGCTGAAATGACCTAAAGAAGAACCAGGATGTGAGAGGATTTTAAAATCCCACAGAAAGCAAAAGACAACATGAACTTGGCTACGGTGCATGGTTCCCACCCTCTAAGGATACAGAGAGCAGGGTGGAGTTCAGGAGCTGAAACATTAATTTAAACCCAGCATCAGCCTTGTCATCTGTCATGTCCCCATCTGAAACTTTATGCTCCATTTAAACTCCCCGCAGGGTGATTTAGGCAGGAGCAAAATGAGGCAAGCTGTGAGAAAGCTCCCGTTTCTAAGCACGCGTGGAAAACGTGATAACTTCTTCCTCATTGTTTGAATGCCTGGAGCCTGTTATTATGATGAAGGGTTGAAGAATACCTGCAGGGCAACTTAGTGAGAGAATAAGCTTCAAGGAAACGGTCAATACTCTGAGTTAGTGAGCACGTAATTCTTTACCAATCGTAAACATAAAGGAGGTAAAAGCATTAAAAACAATAAACAACGCTGACAGATTTAAATACAGACTGGAAGAGTTAAAAAAAGAACTCGACTATGAGTCGCTAACTGCGCCTTATCTGAAAGTCTAATTAACGCTAACGTTACATCAAAAGACCGCCTGAGACTTCCCTTTTTCCTGCTGCACAGACCGGTCTGTAAACTCTACACGTTACAACTGCTGCGAATTTTACTAAATAAAAATAATTTTAAAAAAGGCTCGGACTCATTAAAGGAAATTAAACACACCTGTTGGTAGAAGTCCACGGAGAACAGCCACTATACGACTCGCAACTCACTCCCGAGAGAAAAGACAGGCAAAAGTGATACCAGCAGCACGCGAGCTCACCGCGCGCTCACAATCACACCACCGGGTAGGTACACACAGCTGTACTCTGCTTCGTGGTTAAAACACAACCGTGCCCGAGTCTCCTTAATTGCTGATTTTGTGGCGGAAGATAAGTAAAGTTCGCAGGAGACGCTCAGGAGCGCCTCTCTCTCTCTCCACATTTTCCATGACAGGTGCTTTTCCTTTGCTCTATTTACCGGAGGAGGGCTGGGTGTGGAAAATCTCGCCCATATCTTGGTTTCCTTTCTCCCCCCAAGCTGTTTTTTTCTAATCCTTGGAAACTTGGAACAAAGAAAGTGCATGCATATGCGCTTTTCACTAAAATTTGCACCTAAATGTGTGAAATTCAATATGCAAACGAGAGAGAGAGAAGCACAGCAGATAGTTACACATAGTTGTAATACCGGGCTATTATTTGTTGTTAGGGCACAGCCATAAGAGAGCAGAGCATAAAGAAAATGATTTCTGAGTTTTAAAAAATGACAGCAGCTTTTAAGCCTGAAACACATGTCGTTTAAATAAAATAAAAACAACAACAACAAACTTTCAAAGTCCTTTTTGGAAGAAAACCCCTCCCCTTCCTGTTGTTTCATGTCTTATTTTACTGTAAAAGCCCAAAAAATGTTTACTTAGTAAACGCATTTTTGATTATAAGATTGAATTTATCACCACTTATCCCTGCATAAACTATTATTTAGGTTAATACGTTTTTCAGTACATGTAATGTTCTGTTTGTTTTCATGTCTGTTTGATAACTGGGCGGTGGTAGTGACCTCAATCTAAGGCAAACCTAATAAATCTATAGGATTAAAACAAGCTATGCTACCTTGCTATTCTAACTAGACCATGACTTTGATACATGTCAAGTGCTTCAATATTATTAACACATTTAAATACATAAATAAAGAGAAATAGGATGAAACAGACAGATAAAGAAGGATAAATGACACATTTGAGCACCACAAGCCAGATTAGCTTCATTGCCCCAGGGCATTGATTTCTCCAGGAAGGATGGACCCATCCATCCGTGCAGAACATATCCCCCAATTAAGGTTCAAATCTCTCGTATCAACTTAACTGGATTCAGACCACGTGCCTGCAAAAAGCCAAATCATATGATTCACATAACTTCTCAATGTATGAAAACTGCATTCTGCAGACATTTATTCAGGCTTTTCCTTTAATATGTCATGCATATAGGTCATGGTAGTAAAACATTCCCCCTTTAAAGCAAACAAAAAACAACAACAAGGAGGGTTGTGGATCTTCAATCATGGCAGATTTATGACTAATGCAGAATAACAGTGATAATAGTGTATTTGCTTTCCAATGCAGCCACCCTCAATGGTACTAGTAATCAAACACACCTGAGAAATAGTACAACACAACAATGAGCTGCTCTTTAGCAAGGCACAGCCTGACTGTTTAGCTGCTTGCACTGTGACACTGTGACTCTGGTGCACTCGTGAAAAGGATTGGGGATTGCAACTAATTCCTATGAACGAGGAATTTCCAGCGCCGGTCATAAGTCCCTTGCATAAAAGTGAGGCAGGAAACCTGAGGCCTGTACTACGTTCAAAGCAAGTTCACATCTCCATACATTAGCCACAAGATGAGGCAAACCTACGAAGGTGGTTATAAACTCAACATGTCAACCCAGTGTTTCTCATAATCCAGCTACGAGCATGTTCACATGCCAGAAGAGTGCATATTTTAAGATGAGCAAGGTAGAATATTAGAAACATATGAAGAAGTCAAATGCGTCTTGTAATACAGCCACTGCAGGCAAAGCAGCTGTATTAGGAACGTGCTGTATTACAAGATGTGTAAATTCAAAGATTAATCAATATTAAAGCTCCAGGACATTCAAGAGTCTCACATGACTACAACTGCATATTCTGTTAAATTAACCACCTACTGTTTGATGTGTGCAAGATGATTTTAAACCTTATTCTTTCTTTCATAGCAAGTTCAATGTAAGTAAATAAAAAAAAAAAAATTCAATTTAAAGATTGAGTGTTTAAAAAGAAGGCAGATAGATTTCTTAGTGCCCAGACATTTTCATCACTACACAAATGCATGGCGCCACCTCATCAGAACTCAGCACATCTGCACCTAAAGGAAAAAGGACAGTATTTTAAAGATCACAGTGTTAAAGGAGGCATCTACATCCACTGTCAACAAACCTAGAACCACCTAAAATGCATCTTGAGATCCGTTCCCAGATGCTTCAACCCCCACTCACAAATTGTCTGAGGTGACCTCAGTAGCTCACGTGACAGTTAAGTGGGACAGCGTCTTTCACACTTTGGCCCCAGTGAGTCAGGCCCTTTTTCACATGATTGGGTCAAGGATTCTCAGGACCGCCTCCAAGGGGATAATCCTAACTAGGGGTTAAATACCTGGGATTCTATAGCAGTTGTTTTAGAACTAAAGGTGCTTCCTGGATGAGAGACAAACGGTATTGATGAACCTAAAGACGCCCAGTTGTTTCCTTTCTAAGCACTCAAGACTACCATGTCCTGGATGACTGAGAACTTACACAAACATATTCAATTTAAACCTGTAATTTATGTGAGCTTATCAAGTACAAAGCTTTGTTGCTCTGTTCTAGGATTATATTACAATATTAAGGATTAGAAAAAACGCTTTAGAACTGCTTTCAGCTAACAGAAACAAAAACATATGACTACAGTTTCTCCTGAGCATCTACATTTCTTAATCGTGCTCACTGAGGAAAGACAAAAACTAGACCTTCCTTCTACCTGCACACGTCCATGAGTCCATGGGCTTTTCCACAAGGTAAGGTCAGCAGCATAATTTAACCTGGCAACGCACCCAGAGTAAGAACTGAACCACCTTTGCAAGACTGGAGACCCAGGGTTAACCCCAAAGTTACGTTGCTAAGCCACTAATCCTGCTTTGTAGTGCAGGCCTCTGGATAAATAATGGTTGCGGTTGGTTTGTCACAGCCTGACAAATGATTAAACCAGCTTGTGTAGGGTTTGGTTAGAAACGTCTGTTTGTTTAACACCACAGTGTCTGTTTAGTGTTTGTGATGATTACTTTCTCAGGAAGGCCTGCACTCCAAGTCCAGCACGACATGGTGAACATGAGGTGCATATGACTTAACGTGCTCGATGTGCTGGATATTTGTTGTCCACTGTGTACCATTGAAGTCTTTTAAAAGAGAAGTGAAGTGCTTTGCCGTGTCTTCGGCCCAGGCCTGCCACACCTCTCTGTCTGCTTTTTTCCCAGAAACCTTCTGGGGGGCATCGCCGGCTGTACTGTGCTCTACTGGTGAGGTAACGTTCTGGTGTATATGTAAAACACCTCCTGTTGCTCTCCTGAGCAGTCGACAGGCGACAGACCAGCCGTCCTCAGAGCTTGGTATGAGACCCAGGTTCACTCGGTCAGCGACGCCACACAGCTGGAGCTGGAAAAACCAAAGTTAGACAAAAAGAGGTGATTACAAAAACCTGTATAGCGTATCTTTTTTTCTTAAAGCGGAATAAAAGGCAATTACATTTTTATAATAATGGTAAAAACTCAAACGAAACTTGCTGGTCACACTTGCTGATGATCATTTAATCAAGAGGATTTAATTAGCAGTGCCTGGCTGATACTTGGCTTCTTAATTAAGGGTAAGTAAGGGTGTAGGTACGGCACACAGTCCTGAGAAATCTATCTCATAGTTAAAATAGATATAGTTTTTATTAGAGGTGGACTTTCTCTGATGAAATAATCATTTCCCAAGGGACCAATCTAAAACTGTAGTATATAAACACCACATGCGGCATAAGATATAACGAATCGATGAACTTTACTTGGCGATTATCTCCTTGGTGAATCGTGCAGCGGTCAGACACTCCGTTTGCCTCGAGGTTTTTCTTTAGAGCTTCGACAGCGTTGGGGTTCCACTCACAAGCATGAACGTGACTGGCCTTTGCATGCACCAGATATGGGAGAGTGAAGTATCCAATACCTGAAGTAAGGCACAAATGGGAAAATTAAACAACAATATGCATCATAACTCGGTTGCTTTTAGGTAGCACACAGCTGTAAGAGCAATAGTACATGAGCAGTGAACTCAGCTGCACCTCCATTTGATTCAGAATTCAAGGAAACGACATCAGTCAGTAACTTTATTTCATATCTACTAAAATGGGTCCTTTTAACCTTCAAAAAGTTACATTTACCACAGATTCCTTTTATTGCAATCGTATAATATATTTTCCAGTTTTATTACCTGCATATAAATCCACTACAGTCTCCCCTCTGCAGTAAAATCCAGCCACCCGGAGCTTCTCTGTTATGTTTCCAGCTGAGAACATGCACTTGGTAACATCAAACTCATAACTGAAACAAATGTGAAGCACACATTTTCACACACATTTTAGTCTAATAAGCATGTCCCCAAGTGCTGAAATCTATGACTGATTATTACCTAATGCCATTGTCTACATGTTTGACCCAGCTGTGCGCTCCTAGCAGCATCGTCACCTCAGGAGATCTAAATCCATCTCTTGAAATCCTCCTGATCTTTGCTAGGCGCTTTGCTCCCAGTCCTCTGGCCACTGTGCTCCAAAGCTGTTGATCTAAATGAGTTAAAAAGTAGCCAGTGAGCCTCCTCATGAATTATTCTGTACATTTAGCGGTAAAGTAAAACGTGGTGCAGTTTGAGATCAGTAGCTACCCATGTTTTCCCATAATGGCAGAACAAAACAAGTGTCTCCCAGCAGGACTAGGTCTCCATGTCGCTGGAAACTGCGAGGGATGTCTCTCTTCAGCTCTTCTGTCCATCTTTCACCATGAGACTCCAACAGCTCCTGGAGGACTTTCTCCAGTTTACTACTACTCGCCCTTCCTTTCTCTTTTTTTGACTGCAGTGCAGACTGTGATGAAAGCAGGACAGAAATGAAAATATTCACAGAAAAAAAAAACAGCTATTACATTTTAAAGCTTGCTGTTAATAATAATTCGTTCAGCTTTAATTACCTTACTCCAAACTACTTCAAAATCATCATCTGAAGCCACAGTGGTCCTGAAAGACTGAAGATCGAGCTGGGACAAACAGGATGCTAAAATGGGCAGGAGGACTGTCCCATCTGAGTCTTTCACTAAACTCAAACTCAGGTCCAGAGCCCCTTTGGACTGTAGTGACCTCCTGTGAAATAAAATGCATGTTAA